TACCACCAGCAAGAAAAACAAAGCGTAGTAAACTTCCACCCTGAAAAATCCAAACAGGCAAGGTGGATTTATATTCCTGCAATTCTTAAGTTTTCTTGGACATACACATCCTTCCAAATACTTCCTTGGGATTCCTTGTAGTTTAAAACGTCTGATTAAGCATTATAATCCCTAGCCTTCACCAAACGTTTCCTAATTCACGAGCCCTGCAAACACAGGGCACACTTGGTGAAGGCTGAGGCGCACTTCCCAGCGTCTTGCTTTCTCCTTTTTCTGAGAATCCTTTAGGCTTCCAGGAACCTCCCCCAGCTTTGTCAGCAGAATCTCCGAGGCCCACCCCATCCACGGCTTGCAAGCTCTTTATTTTCTCTTGGCACCTTAAAGAGATTCAGCTAGGAATTGATAAAACTAACTTAAGAATCACTGATTCGCTTTTCTAATGGAGCACAGGGCCAGAAGCAGTGTCTTTTACGAAAAACTGCTTGATATTCTTAAAGGGAAATCTGAAACTTTGCTCCATCCTACTGATTCAATCATCTGAAAGACAATGTCACACTAACCTGGTTTCTCCTGTTTAGTATGCCTTGTACTTCCTAAGTATCTATGCTGAATGGAAATTACTCTGAATAAAAAGTTTCACATTTGCTCCACCACCTGCCAGGAAGGACTTAACATTGCTTTAAAAATAAAAGCGTTAAATGTGTATCAAAATTTTTTTTTTCTTTTCTGATGTTGAATAATCAAACTCAGGGCCTCACAAGCCCTAGGCAAGTGCTTCACCACTGAGCTGTATACCCCTAGCCCTAAAATCCTTAGAAAATATTGAAGCAGCTACTCTTGCAATGAAAAGTGAAAATACACGTAGTTTTAGCAGAACCCTACAAAATAATAGATTTAAAAAGATATGCATCATTTAAAAATGCCTTGTATAGGCCTCGTTCATGCCAAGGTTGTTTTTGATGCTTTGGACTTGAAAATAAACCTCAGTCATACCATCACCAGTACAATGAACAAGCACTAAACACTCTTCTGTAAAAGCCCCTCCATGGCAAAGAGCTTTAAAGAAATGGAATATGCCATATTGTTTTAAGAAAGACAGAACTGTGAAATACACGTGATTTTAAAACACATTAGCTGCACACAAGAAAACATTGAGAAACAGCTAGCATGAAGAGGCAAATTACATTGAAACACAATAGTTGGATTATTTTGGACAGGGGCAAGCTCCTGTTTTTGAGCAAAAACTCTTATTTTGGACTAGTCAGCAAACATCTCTTCTCCTAGCTGCACATTCCAGGATGTAGGACACTCCCTTACCTACAAGCAATCCCGATTAAGGGACTGTTGCCAAACAGGAATGCATATTAACCCTTCCTCTCCAGGGCTGCGAAGCCAGAAGCCATATGTAAAATACGTTATTTTTAATAGGCATTTAGAAGTGGAGGTAGCTTTTGTTAGTGGGAATTGTTAACCCTCAAAATAAACCTTAAGGAGTGCTGCTTACCAAGCTGTATATTCCAAACCCCAGCAGTAATGGGCCTTAGGAAATTCAAGATGAGTTTTCTCCTTTTTTTTTTTTTTTTTTTTTGATGAGTTTTCTCCTTGCAGACAGGTCTTAATGATACTGCTCTGCCTGCTGCTTCCAAATCTCACTAGCTGAAGCCCGTGCTATTCAGATTGAGGGGCCATGCAAATGCAAACCTTGTGTTGGACATCTGTGACAGGACTTCTACGCTGGGCATGGCACAAGATGAGGATCTTAGCACCCCGTTAATCTGTCCTATGAAAAAAAAAAAATTCTACACCTTTTGGATTTCCTAACTGGTGAAGGCTTTCTGTTCCACACCCTGCTTAGAATTTAACAGGCTTTTTGATCTTAATCTGGAGGAAGCAAATCCTAGCTACTGCTAACTGGTTCAGTATTGGTAATTTAAGGAAAAAGCAGCTTTGGGAACCTAAGTTTAAAAAAAAACAACAATATACGAGCCAGCCAGCTGGATTTTGGAATTCTGTCCTCTATGCCCCTCCCCCCTCTTAAAATGGCAAGACAAAGGGTGCATGCTGGAATGCAGTAAGCTCCAAAAATTCCTCGAAAGCGCCTGTAGAGTTGACACACATTCAGCTGATGCCATCATTTTGGGGTGACAGCTGCCAAATCTGGCCAAGAGGAACTCAGCATTCGTCAAGGAGGTGGCATTCGGAGGGCAAGGCTGGGAGCACTTCTTGTCTGGAAGCGAAAGTCTCCACACACTTTAGGACCCTGCCCAGCTCAAGCACGGGGCACAATAATGACAAAAGTCAAGATTTAGGGTTCAGTTCCAGCTGATTTTATTTCCTTCTCAAAAAAAGTTATTTACAGAAGGTATATATCAACAATCTGACAGGCAGTGAACGTGACATGATTAGCTGGCATGATTTTTTTTTTTTCTCTCTTTTCCCCCAAACATTGTTTGTGTGGCCTTGAATTTTAAGACAAATATTCTACACGGCATATTGCACAGGATGGATGGCAAAAAAAAAAAAAAAAAAAAGTTTAAAAACAAAAAACCCTTAACGGAACTGCCTTTAAAAAGGCAGACGTCTAGTGCCTGTCATGTTATATTAAACATACATACACACAATCTTTTTGCTTATTATAATACAGACTTAAATGTACAAAGATGTTTTCCACTTTTTTTCAATCTTTAAACACAACAGCTATAAACCTGAACACATAAGCTATCATCATGCCATAAGACTAAAACAATTATATTTAGCGACAAGTACAAAGGATTAAATAGTCAAATACAAGAATGAAAAACGCAGTACATAGTGTCGCGAACTCAAATCGGCATTTAGATAGATCCAGTGGTTTAAACGGCACGTTTTTGCTTATAAAAAAAGTGCAAAAAAGATGTGGTTTACAAGTTAAAGCTACAGGATCCCTTTTTTGTTTTTGCTGTAAATGCACCAGTTTTAAAGCCTCTGGAACAAAACAGTATTTCTTTTTATTTTTTCGGTACCGGGAATCGAACTCACGACCTTGCGCTTGCCAGGCAGGCGCTGTGCCGCTGAGCTAAATCCCCAGCCCCAACAGTATTTCTTTTTAACAATGTGTTTTTCTTGAAAGCATACAGTGCTTGGCTGACTCTCCTCCCCATCTTACCAGACTGGGGTTAAAGGTCGACACTGGCGGCAGGTTGAAGGGATACTGTCACTTTAAGAAGCCTGCAGATTGAACTGTAAACATGGATAAATTAGGGGCTGATTTTTCCAACTGTGTGAGATATTAACCAGCCACCCTATTATAAAATCAGGAAATCCAAACAGCGATTTACACCGATTAACACCCCCTTTATATATTTTTTACAAAAATACACTGAGAAAATAATCAAACGTTTTCATCTCTCTTGTCTTTTTTTGTTTTTTTAAAAGTGTCAAAAGTCTACATTTAAATATAAAAAATTAAAAGTTAAAACTCTAGCCCTTCAGTGAAGGAGACGTAAAATGGCGTGGGTCAGAACAACTACCAAAAAAAACAAAAAAAACAAAAAACAAAAAAAAAAAAAAACAAAGAAAAGAAAAGAAAAATAAAGCAAAAGAAAAAAAGGAAGAAAGGAAGAAATAAAGAAGTCAAAACAAAGCCAAGGAAAGAAAAGAAAAAAAAAAAAAGGGATAACATAAGAAAACAAATGTTTGGCCAGTATAAATACGTCCACATATAAAATGGCATCTGATTACATTTACAAGAAAAAAAAATATACGAGGATGAAACATCGGTGGAGGAAAAAAACATGTCTTCTCATTTACACCTAGAAGGAAGAAACACATACACACGGAGGAAAAATTTGGTCCTGAATTGTTTTTTAAAAGTCCAGCACAGATTTGAGTTGCGTTTGAATCCTTTAAAGAGTTAAGAATGAAAAGAAGCTGGTGATAATTTTGTTGTAGGAATCAAACATAGCGCCATCTATCTGCTTTTTATATTATCCTACACTATTTTCAAAACTGCTCAACAGTCTTATACAGAAATCTTTAAAAGATAGACAGGATAACATGCTATATTAACCCCACCAGTGAAATAATCCAACACCATCACGATTCCAATTAAGAGAAGAAAAAACCTTTTTCCCCCCCAAACCACTGTCGCCCTCCACGGCCCCTGGAACACATCAAAAGTCTCCTCTCCTCCGCGCCTCCGGGTCTGGGGAATCTCACCTCGCTGATTTCACAGCCCGGCGGCGGAGGCCCGCGAGCTTGCAAACCCTCTGCAGTTTGATCAGTGCGCCTTCCAGGCGCGCGTCCTCCTCCACCCCCGCCCCTCGCCCGGGCGCCGCGGCTTCCAACGAGGTCCTCAGGTCACTTCCTAGCGCCGGTCACTCTGGCTGGCCTCCTCCCCTCCACATCTCCTCCTATGGCTGCAGGGGCAAGGAAACAAGGAGAAAAGGGGGGAGCAAAACCAAACCAAACCCAAAACTGGAATTCGCCAGCGTGGAGTCTCTCAGTCCCAGCGCTCCTCCAAAACGTCTGCCGTCGTCCACACTCAGCGCCCGGAGCCTTCTGTCTTGAGTAGGCACGAACGGGAGCGGGGCTGCTGGATCCCCCTCCCCCCAAGCAAGAAGCAAAATAAACTAAAAAGCCCAGCAAGGTGGCAGCGCGCGAGGGCGGATTCCTTCAGTCTCTGGGACAGACCTGGCTTCTGGCTCGCTGGGGGGCGAGGGGGGGTGGAATCGGGGCGCACCCCAGTCCGGAAGCTCGTTGGGAAGGGGGGGGGCCTCTTCAAGCAAAGGGGAGGAAACTCGAATAGCTTTTTTTTGCCATCAACAACAACACCAATCACAACAATAAAAGGTCGCCCCTGTCTATCCTGCGTGTCCCCCGGGCTGGCCGGTGCGTCCAGACGCCCCCGCGCTCCTCTGCGACCGGACGCGGTCCAAGCCTGCCCCGCTCTCTCTTTTCTTTCTTTTTTTTTCAAATTTTCTCTTTTTTTTCCCTTTTCTCTTCCAACTCTTCATCTGTTCTTTTTTTTTTTTTTTTCTTTTCTTTTCTCCTTCTCCGCCTTCTCCTCCACTCGCCTCCCACGCCCCGCGCGCCCCTCAGTAGGTGAAGACCAGGTTGGAGATGCTGGACTCCAGCCAGTCTCCTGAGATCATCTCGCTCACCTCGGGCGTGCAGTAGTCCGGGAACTCGAAGTGCGAGCCGGAACCGGGCTCGAAGTTAAAATCCAGGTCCCGGTCCAGCGCCGACGACGAGCTCAAGCTGCCCAGCGACATGCTCTCAAAGTTTGCGCTAGGGTGCAGGTCGAGCAGGTCGTCGTCGAACTCGTCGTCGGAGGACGCGGAGCCCGAGGACGAGGAGGCGGAGGAGCAGGCGGACGAGGAGTGCAGGGACGAGGCGGACGAGGGCGCGCAGGAGGG